TCCAAAGAAGGCGGGCCAAATAAGCTCATTTCTTAGCTCAACTACAGCATGGAGGGCAAACCTGAAAGAGCAGCCAACTGTTGCACTTGATCTATCGAAGTATGTACCAAGTAGCCTATTCCATTGTGACTATTGAAACAGGAAACATGCTCCATGGTAAACATACAAGGGTGGTATAAATGTAAAAAAAAAACATACATGGGTGTCATCTTGGAGCAAAGATATTACCTCAAAACCTGACACGAATGGAAGAAAACAACCCAATTAAGGTTTATATTTTTGCAGGCTACATCATTCCTATAAATTCTGTATTCAGGTAGTCAATCCTAGACCTTACATCCATTGGACCATATGGAATAATAATGTTCTCTGTATTACCTAGTCTACGCTGGAAACACAAAACTACCATATAAGAAGTCAAGCAGATGCACCGCATGGCCAGCCGAACAAATGAGCAGCAACTTCCTCATTTTCAGTATTTCCTATTGTCTATCTAGAAGACCCAAGGCTGTTCAAACCATGGTTGCCGAGTTATTGGGCCAAGCAGGTCAAGGGATGGGAACGAGGATTGAGGATCGTCGGGGGGCAAATACAGGGACCGACGGGGGTATACGGGGCTGTTTGGTTTAAGCCCCAACTAGCCCCACCAAAATTTTGGCATGACCACAAGGGCATGACCAAAATTTTGGCAAGTTGATGTTGTTTGGATTGTGGCCATTGTATCCTCCAAAATTTTGGCAAAAGAGACCTTTGTTTGGTTTGTGACCAACTGGCATGCTGATTATACTACTTGTAAAAACATTTAAGGGGATATTTAAATGCAAATCTATTATCTAGAAGTGAGAAGGCATGTACTGATAAAAAACTCAGATGCGAATCTATATAAAAAAATGTCAAAACAATATCACACAATTATCGCAAGTTGAAAAGCATATTCCGTACGCCACCATGCTGCATGCACTCTTTAAAGAAAATGCTGCATGCACATGCTAATTACACGGACCCAATTTGTTACGGCTAACAGAATCCATCCTACAGCAACACTTTAAAAAACTATTTATCCTGCCACATGCACTGTGTAGGGCCCACCAACAAACAGCACGCTAATATTTTGGCGCAGCTTCTGCTCGCCCACGTCTCGCCCGCATGTTGGCGAAAAATGCACAGGGAGCCACCCGGGTCGCTGGGCGTGCCAAATATTTGGTAATGACCCAAACAACAACCAAATTTCATGGGCAAGCCAAATTTTTGGCATGGCCAGCTTTGGTAGCAATCCAAACAGCCCCTACATCTCTGGAACGGGGCATCAATACCCAGGACGTGAACACGACAAATCGGGTCGATGGATCAGGATCGATGACATAAATCATAGCAATGTCAGGTACAATATTTATTATGCAAGCAAACGACAAAAATTCTAAGAAAAAGATGGAAACACAGCCAAATATAAATATGGCAGCGCCACCGTCATGGTTGGCCCAGCTAGCCCATATTAGTACGGGAAAAGGAATGAGCAATCCATATCACCGGTCGACAGTGGGACGCGTTCCAGCCATCATACCGTATACACCTAGTCGACTCCAACCCTCGATTGGGGTCGATGTTGCCTAGTCGCGAGACGCAGGAGTCCAGCTACTATGGTGCAAACAAGTACAGAACTTTCAAACCAGAAAAGGAAAACAGTGGAGCCCAATGAAGAAGCAAGGCCATGGTTGTTAATGTGCCGCACGGAAACAAGCCAGCCCGGTATAGTTGAAAAGGGATACTATGGGACTCTCAGTATATCTGAATCTGCACAAGGATAATACCGTGTGCTGCTATGCTATGCTATGGTAGTAGTGCTACTTGTCTCGGAGAGTAATCCTAGAAGTCATGCAATTCTCTGTGGGTGGGTATGTAGGCAAGCGCGGTGTAATGTTCAAGTGTTGAGAGAAAGAGCAGATGTACCCCAACTTTACATTGAACTAAATCGACAAATTTAGCAGCGACCTGGGTGTACCAAGGACAAACATCATTACACCGTCTTCACCAAAACAAAAGTGGGATTTCGACGTTCCCCTCTGCCGCCACAAAACTAACTTTCGGCTCTAGCAGAGTTTAAGGTGCCTGACCTGGTAGCGGCAACCGTAGCAGTATCACCCAGCCGTCGCTCGCCAAGAGAAGGGACGAGAGAGAGAGCGCGCGGTCGAAGGCAGGAGAGCAGACTAGGAGCGGAGCTTGCGAGCATGAAGGCAGAACACAAATCCGCCGCCGGCACCAGGGGCGAGGGCTCTTCACCGTGTAGTTCGTGCAATCGTGCCCTAGTCCAACATTTGCCGTTGGATTGTGGCCGTGCAGCCGGATGCGCTCCTCTCTTCTCTCGTGTCCCATAGGTTTTTGTTTTTTTCCTAGGGAGAGAAAAGCTCTCATAGGCCTATTCGGCGCTTACCACCTGCCTTGGATAGATTTTCTAAGTGGACTGGCCCATTAAGGCGTTGTTTAAGAGGTAGCTTCCTCCCGAAATCTTTATCTTTTCTTTTTACCTAATAATAAAGGGAAACGTTCACAGCCGGTCGACCGGCTGCCTGTTCGGCCGGTCGCAGCCACGCAAGCGCGCTAGGTCGTCTAGATGGGTCGCGCGCAGCCGCTCATCCCAAGCCTTATCTTTGTCTTCTTTATCTTCACGGATCCCCTCGTCCACTCATTCTTTTTGGCAGCTCTTCTTTCCCTCGTCTCCAAGAAACACCGCGACCGCCATGGACTTGCCTCTTTTTGGCAGCTCTTCTTTCCCTCGTCTGCAAGAAACACCGCGGTTGCCATGGACTTGCCTCCCTTGATCACGACTCCCTCCTCTCCTCCATGCGCAGGATGTTCGGGTGTTGCGTCAAGTGTGACGATGCTACAACCGCCACCGGAGATGCTGCAACCGTCAATGGAAAAGCTACCACCGACTGACAGATGCTAAAACCGGTGACCATGAGTTGTCGCCACCGACGATGGTGCTGCTATTTGCTGCAACTGGCAACATAAAAGCTACCACCGGCAGACATACATGCTGCAATCGGCGACGATAACGATGTGATTGCTGCAACCGGTTGACGGAAAGCTACTAACTACGGGAGTATATGCTGCAACCGGCGACGATGAAGTGTGGCCGGCGAGGACAGCGCTGCGATTTTTGCTGCCACCGGTGAAGGGCTCTTCTACAACAGCAACCATCCTGAACTGGTACAAGCAAGCCGCTACAATCAGCAACCATACTGCTACAAGCAAGCCGGCGAAGTGGACGAGTCCCTGTGACCGGCACCCGCGTCGACGGCTCAGGCGGTTCGGCAAACAGGAGATGAAAACTGCAACCGGTGGGCTGACTTGCTGGAACCGGCAGCGCGTTTTGCTGCATAGGGGCAGAACCAGGAGGACACCCGCACTGTAATTGTCAAGCCTACGAGCAACCTCGGCGAGATGTGACGGCGAGCTGCATAGAGAGCCGGCGAGATACGACAGCGAGCCCTCGCCATGGAACTTCAAGCGGGAGATTGCGGGAGGTAGCGGGGGGACGACTAGCAAAACATGCAGATGAAGACACGGACGTGTGCGAGGGATTGGCTGGCTTAATCGTGTGATCACGGACGTCCAAATCATGCGGTTGCGTGGCGACCGGCCCAAATTGGGTCGGGCGACCGGCCTAGTAGTCGCCAAGCAGCGTCGCGTGCACCAAAGAGGCAGCATCGGCTGGACAGCAGCGATCTGCTCTCCACTATGCACACGTTGCCTTTTTATTTTAAGATTGAATTTCACTCATCTAATTTAAATTTTTTTGAATTTGACTTTATGTATATCCCTCGTGTACACATATTGACGGGCTACTAGGACGCGACAACTGAAAAGGTAACAAACACCATGCGTAGATGGATGAGGATTAGGCTGTAGTGACAAGACCTCGAACAGTCTGATCTTTGTGCATCAGTGTCATCCCTGGATCGATAATGCTGAAACGCACAGTACTTGAAGGATTTATAACAGAGTAGCAATTACACACTTATTACGTCGAATGTCTCAAAAGAGAACTTATTATAATAAATATGACTTAAGGCCATCTAATAACGATAACAGCGAAAGGCTTGGAAGATAAGCGAGTCCATCAACTCCAACGGCATCACTGAGTATGAGACCACGACCTAAGGCACCTTACTCGTTGTCTGAAAAGTCTACAACATGAACGTTGCAGCCCGAAACGGGTCAGCACATGAAATATGCTGGCAATGTAACACATAGAGAGTAATGAACAGAACAAATGCTATACTCCATGCATATATGGCTGGTGGAAAGCTCTATGGTTACAATTTTGCATAAAGCCAATTTTTTCCTACAACAAAGGAATAAATTTTATTTAACTATCATGGTGGTCGTTAAACATTGAGAAGGTTCCTCCAACTCAATCTCAATTAAGCATCAACATTAACCCAACAAAATTAAATTAAGTAACATGAT